CTTTTATAAATATTTTTGTATGTTTACAATGACAAATAATCCTTCCAAGAGTAAGGATCCCTATTGTAAATTCCAGAAGCATAGGGATTTTAATCCTTGAGCAATTATATATCTACTGATATGATATAATTATATTGGTTGTTAAAATATTTAGATATTGTTTCTGACTCTTAGCAACTGCATTAAATACAAACATGCATATATACATATATGATAGGTTATTCAGGTACTCTCACAGATCATGATTTAGTCTTTCTTTCATCATGCAGTTTGGTCAGCTCTGCACTTAACTGACAATAGCAGAGTTGGGGCAGAACATAGGTAGGATCTCCATGAATAATGCTATAAAGCTATTTTGTGCTGTTCTTTAACTTACATATTTACACCTCAAGAATTGTCTTTTCACCATTTTTTCTTTCTTCCCTTTTCCTCACCCTATCTGTTGCTGGACTTTTCCTTTTCTCTTATCCCTCCCCTGCCACACCCATACAGCACCCATTTTGTGTACTTGATTGTACTTGATTGAGAATTTCAGATGAGCCTTTGACCCTCAGCTATATGGATTGTTCTAAATTAGTGCTTTGGAATCAGACTGACAATCACATTTAGCCATGAAACCAAATATGATGACTCTCATCAATATTTCATGTGTATAGAACTGCATGGGGTGGACAAGGGTAGAACGGATCCCTCTTATTTTTGAGGTAGAGCCTAAAATTTGAAAACAGAGACTTATATGTGTGACTAGCATTAGAGAGAAGCAAGTTTATTATGCAATATTGATGACACAGTCCCATTCTCCCCCTCTGTTCACATATATAATGTACACATGACTTGATTAAGGAATATCTCCATATCGACCACATCTTTCAGAATTGTTATGAGGAATATTATTATTGCAAAAGAACCCAGTGTTCTATATTGCTCATTTCAGGGAATAGGAAGTGTTGTTAAAAATTATAATCAGGTTTACATCAGCCTGTTATGACTCTATACGAGAGTTGTACAAAACATTTCAGACAATACTATGTAGTGGTGAATAAAGCACCACTACAAACACGTCACTCAAAACATCAAGGTATTCATATTATCTTAAAGTTTATGTGGCTTCTTTGAGGGCTTCCCTATGTTGTTTGAGCGTGCATGTGCGCGTGCTCAGAAGACCAGCAAAGCACCTTATAATAGCCATGTTATATCTTTAAAAACCATGGCCAATTCAGCACTCGGAAGATTAGGTTTGTGGCTTGCACAGCCCTACTTGATATACAATTCAGATTTTTTATATATCTTGCCTGTTAGAATTATGTTTTGTGTTCTGATTCTAGGTGCTATTTGATTTCTTTTTGGTTTCTTTCTTCACGTTTCTCCGAGCATGCTCATGGAATATGGCAATACCGTTTAGATCAGTCCTCCCAACCTGGTGTTCTCCAGATGTATTGAGCTTCAACTCCCACAATTTATCATGGGACTTAAAATCTAATATACCTGAGGGATTCTGCATTGGGGAAGACTGTTTTAAATATTAAATACTTCATTTTGTATGCTCAACTAAATTCATTTTGCCATTCTGCTTTTCCTTACTTTGTGTATGTTATTCATCGCTTCGTCTTATTGTTAACTCCACCCCTCATTCTTTTCCTCTTATTCTTCCTTGGTAAAATAATACTGTCTTTTAAAAGCTGTCCTTGATCCATACCATCAGAGCTCCAATTGGTAATTATATGAGAGTTTATTATAGGAAAGCATTTCTTTTGTAGGCTGTAGTACTTGCACTGATTAAGCTTTTGTGATTTTGACAAGAAAGGCATATGTGAGTCTTTGAATTCACAAGTTCTCTGTTATAGAACCCAACAGATCAGATGTCAGTGGCATAGTTGCTTCTAAGTCAGGCTGGAAGCTGCCATTGTTCGTGTATGTTAAAACTTGTATTAAAGGATGTGAAACCTTGTGTGTGACCGAGCCATGAACTTTAAATTTTAGTATACAACTTTTTCTTTCACAGAAGGAGAAGATGCAGATCTTTGGAATAAGAAATAGGTCATGGCACGTTTAGTTGTATGTCATATACATGTACATGTGTATTTTATGTTATGCCATTAGAAATACTTCAGATAAATAAGTATTGTGGTTCTTTTGTCCTGTATTGTATCTGATAAAACACCTGTGAACCTCTCTAAGTAATCAGTCAATAATAATAGGTATTCTTTAGCTATTTTAAATCTATATTATCAACATAATAATGGAAAGAGAGCATGTAACTTTCCCCTAGGTCCTTATTTTCTATTACCATCCCTCCCACCACCCCAGTTAACTGTAGATTTCTGAGGCATAGAATGAGGATATTTGTGAAGGTACATGTCACGTGGAAAGGTTCCTTTTCATATGCAACATATGTTAGCCCGGAGCATAGCTGGATAATGAGAACAAGAATGTGAGACAACTAGTATGCTCATTTTCTGTCCCTCTCTTTTCTCTCCCTCACTTTCTTCCTATCACTTGTGTGTTCGTGATAGTTAGGTTTGAATGAGGGCCAAACTCCTTAGTGCTGCAATCTTGTCATTTTTTTTACTCTTTCATAGCTCATAATTAGGAACTTGAAAGATCAGATTCTTGGAATGCCTTTTTCTTCAAAACCCTGCTTCTTTCTCTTGGTGGCTAGGAATTGCTAGATGTTGAACTGGAAATCTTTGGTTATGGTTGCATATTGAAAGGATTGAAACTAGTAAGGCAGGAATGTCTGAAACATTTTATGAACAAGGGATGGATGGGAGAAACCTTCAAGACCAGGAAACAAGTAGCCACATTGTTATAGAATCAAAAAGGCAGCAGGAGGAGATCCAAAATTCAAACCTTGTGACCAGTATAGGACAAAGTCTCTCTTGTCCACCAACTTTCTACTCCTTCCTCTTTGCCACTTCCATTCTCTGATCTCCATCCTCATGCTGTTCATCCTTTTGCTCTTCAACCTTCTTCAAACTCTGAGGATTGCTGTAACTGCAAACTGTAGCCCCCTCACCTAACTAATCTAATCTAAAAACTCTTGTCTACAACTAACCCACAATATCCTCCTGTAGCCCCGAGTGTTGTTGTCA